ACAATCACAAATGTGGCGTTCACGTGCTTTCGTAACATTCTTTGAAATTCTCGTAAGTTATTACGCAAATTTCCTTTTTTCATAATATTATATTTTTCTGCTCTGTTATCTCTATGCGGATATCCGTTATTTCTCTTCTTCATCTGCCGTTTTCTGTTGCTCTCTCATCTATCTTGTTCTTCTCGTTAGCCCATTATTCTTCTCTGTCGTCTCTTTATCGTCTTCTTCCTCTTTATCATCTATTCTCGTAATTTAGTAGTGTGATTGATTTCCCTCTTAAATCCTGAGCGTTCTCGACCGATTTCTTTTCTCTTTTCTTTGCACTTGTCTCTTGGCCTTCACTGGCTACCGATGACATTTTTCTACATTTCTGTGTCAAGATCCAATCGACTCTTATTGCTTCGATCCTTTCTTGTGGCATTTTTGCTTTTTAATTTCTTCTCTTCCCATTATTCTAAATCGTAGTAGTATCTTGTCTGGCTTGTCTTCTTGTTTCATCGATCCCTATAAATAGATTTATATTATTCTTTACATTTACTCTTTAATCACGTTCGGTGAATTTTGCTTATTTTATTATGTGTTAAACTTATTATCTGCAAACTGACTGTTATCCATGTATCTCTGCTGGTTTCATTAGCATTTCAAATTTAAGAATGGCTTCTACTTACTTTATGTTGTTAATTTTGTATGTTGTTTTTATTTTTTTTTTTTTTTTCTATTCCTTGATCCTTTCACTTATTTTCTTTTTTTTTTGTTTGTTGTGTTTTTTATTAATTGTTTGGACACAAAGGAAATTAGTACTTACCCTTTTGAAATATTATTCTTTTATAGTTTTATGTATACGTAAGCTCTTTTGCCGTCATATGATTAATCTTATTTTAGTTGTTTTTATTTTATGACTTCTTTACTAGTTGATTTTTGATTATGTGAGGTTTCATATCATTATACTCAACCTCTATTTATTTTTTATCTTTCTCTCTGTATTAATTGATTTCTATAGCTGTGTTTCCTACTTTAACTCTTTTGTCTTTTCATCTTGTATTTTATATTGTTATTATTGTTTTCTGTTTTCTGTTATGGTTCTTTGTATCCTTGTTTTAAATTTCATTATATTTCTTCATCTCTCACTTTTTGCCCTTCATTTGAGCTTTTTTTTCATTTTCAATCTCTTAGATATAATTTGTTGATTTTTTTTCGGCCTGGCGTGAAACACTGATGACGGGTGGCGGAAGTGATAACTACTGATAGGAGCTGATAACGGACGTCGAAATGTTTGATGTCACCAATTTCGTTGCACCGTTCGCGTTGACAGTGGAGAGTTTGCACTTATGTATGATATGTGGGATGAGGCGGGGACCAAGAAGTTGAGTGAACGAATGTGGTAGCAACTGATAAGAACTGATAAGGAGGCGTCAAAGTGTGGATACCACCAGTTTCGTTGCGGCCCTTGCGGTTACATTGGAGCCTTGGCTCTCACATGTTTTTATAGGGGATGGCACGAATAGCGGAGGATTAGAAGTGAGAACAAGCGAAAAACGGATGATAAGGAAATTTGGACTTTGAGTACTGTTAATTTCGTTGCAGCCTTCGTGGTGACAGTAAATATTAGCTCCTACACGTTGCGTGGAGGTTGGGACCGGGACGCCGATTGCGAACAGGATGAACTGATAAGAAATGACAAGGAATGATAGGGGCGTTTTGCCCATGCAGGTCTCTACCAACTTCGTTGCATTATCACTGGCAAGCGATCAAGGTGGCGAGGGTTGAATGTAGGTGACAGAAAGTGGTATGAGCAGCAACTGTACTGATAAAAGTAGCGACAGTTGAGCGTGCACTCAATGAACTAAACCAGGTCCCTAGCACGTGAATATGTTCCATTCCTACCCATTCTATCTAAAAAGCAAAGAAAAGTTGAGCTGCTCAACTATCTGGGCTTGGACCAATAGCGAATTTCCATCATATTTGCAATCTCCATCATGGTTAGATGCTGATTGATTGGTTATATTTCACTTACACACCGGTTCTTCAATTGTGGAAATTCTATAAACCGCTAAATCACCCGAGCTCGATATCAATGCTAAATGTTTACGAAAGTCATGATAAGTGTATTTTCATTCCGCATGCTACTGCGCGCATTACGCTACAATCTTCAGCAAAATTGGACGGCCTTCGAAATTCATGTGACACATCTTCCAAACATCTTACTGTTAGTCAGACACGTGACCTGATACTCAGCAAGTTCCAGCTTCACTAAAGCCTACCATGTGATGCGCGCGGTGTGCGGAGCTAAACTGGTGTTATTACATCGAAGCTTCCGCTGTTGACTATATCGTCCTAAGCTCATATGTATATGATGATCTGTATTTCTGTAGCTCGTCTGGTCTTGTGAGTCAAGCTATTGTAGCAAATTAAGATTTATTACAACAAACGTATCCCTAAATACCTACGTACATCTCATTCACAGAATAACTTGGAAAACTTATATTTCAAAAAAATTTGAATGTATTGGCTGATTTGGTACGGACATCGTGCAGCGGTGGTGGTGAGGAAATAGATTGAAATCCGATCCAGACGCTCAGCAAAACAAAAATCGCGCCGATCACAGCACGTGCTCGGTGATGTGGGACGTACAATGGTACAGTCTATTATATTTTCATTCTATATTCTTTTATAATCATTCAACGCGAGAACTCTGCAGTGCGCGCCGCAATTCGTCCGCTGACCAGGGTGAATATCGGTCGAGGAAATCCTCGACAGGGGGGTCGTACCTGTCGGGCTGGGTCATGGGGGGTCGTACTCTTGAGGGGTCAGTAACAGCAGTGGTATCGTGGTGCAGATAGGTAAGAGGGTATAGCGCAGCAGAAAATGAAAATATCTGAAAAAACATGATATTAAATTTTCTTTGCAGGTTCAGTCGCTCCATTCCTCCACCTTCATGAGAAGGGCGTATTTGAAGGCAGTACAAAGAATGAAAGTGCATCCCCGCAAAGAAGATGCCACATGTGCGCACGCGCTGCGAAGGCACCTCCTCTGCCTATCGCTCGCTCCTTCTCCCTTAATACCTCGCTGAGAATGACACTGTTGTTAGGGACCCTGTCGCAAAAACGACAACCGTGAAGGAAAAGCCCTGGGCAAATGAAGTTGTTCTTCAGGTTGTAGGAGTTACGAAATGCGTTTACTACAATGCAGCTTCTGTCAACTGGTCATGATCATATGACACCTTCGAATCGATTCTGCAACTTCGAGTGAGGTCGGATGCATGGCCTATACTCAGACAAAATTCGATGATGACGATTGCCCCTTTTCCTATTGCTTATGTTGGGAGGATGTTTTCTAGACCCATTTCAAGCGTTGCCAACAATTACACTTGCAATGGTGAAGGAAGGGAGCGGATTTTCAGGTGGCCGGATCCGTCCTCGATACATACTCGACGCAGATATCTTCTCAACTAGGAAATGTAGAAGAAAGCTAAGAAGACCATCAGAAAGCGCAAACCTTCCGCTTTCCAAAACTATCTTCACTTTTTCAGGATCTCACGTTTTAAGAGAGATATTGCTCTTGAAGTGGCAAAAACTCGCGTGAAAATTTCAGCGTCCTCGACGTTTACTCGACGAAATTTGAGAGACCCTATCTTTCTGCATGGAAGGCTTCCAGAGCAATTTCAATACTTCTTGGAAACGCGAAATCCAGCTCTATCTAACCCTACCTCAAACTGCTTCAAAGGTTATGAAATGGAGGAATGCAACCTTTTCATCGAGGGTGTAGATTTCGACGGTTTTTTTCGGGATTTCAGCAAATCTGACCCAGTGACAATCGCGCCGCAGCTGCCGTTGAATCGGCCTTGATGATACACTCGGCTGTTTTGATATACTCAAGCAGGAATCAAGATTAAATCGCAACCCCGTGCCTTCAGGATTTCTGTGCATTTCTGAACGAACCTGACTTTGAGGTCACACAAAGTTAATGCCTCTTTCCTCGAGTATTTCAGTAAATACACAAAAGTGTGCAGCGATGAAAGACAGTGCATAGATGACAAGATGAGGCGTCCATAACATTATTTTGCAGATTTTTTTTGATTTGTTTTGCAGGATTTATTTTATTATTGAATTAATTTGCTCTGTTAGAGGGGGTCGTGCCAGGATCTCGATTTCGGGGGGGGGGTCGTACCTCTGCGACCACGTACTCGACACGATTTTCACCCTGCCGCTGACCCGGGTTAGCGCTTTTACATTCTCGCCGCGCGTTGGGCCTGGTGTCGGCTACCCGAAATAGATATATTATGTGGGCTGTGATGGAACATTCCTGAAACTTAGGTATACAAATTGGGATGACATGTGAGAAAAGGAACAATTGTCAAAAAAGACAGCAGCTCTGGAGACTACGTCACTATAATTTGAGCAAGTTCAGCGGAAAGTTTTTATGAAAATGACTTTAATGCACATTTCATGACGAGCCTAATCGTAAGTGGATCACTCCTTTCGGTAGGTAGGGTAGAGCTCGCCATTCAGTCGTAGATTCTGTGTTCCCTGACTTGAGAAGGTGCGCAAAAAGTGGAAGCCTTCCCTGGACCGCTTCTACCGCCTCCATTTTTCCTCATTCACAACATGGAGTCGTCTGCGTCTTCTCATGCGTCGTGCTCTTTCGCCTTTCCTCTATCCTTCGCGCTTAGTGCCGATACATACATTGGAGCTCATCACACCACAACCACCTACTCCCGCTTTATGCTATGAAAAGCTCTTGCCGTGATGTCAGGCAATAAATCACAGTACGAGGTTCTTACAAAGGAATTCCATAATGTTCCGCACGGTGAAAGGCGCGGGCTTCATGGAGTGCAATCGCCGAAGTAGCAGGTTGAATCGCTCAACCACTGCCCAACCCGCTGATGAGCTAATATTATAAATAATTTCCTGTTCTTTTCGGTAAACAATTATAATATAACTTCTGAATGATAATCCTTCAAATTACATGCACTCATATGGTCAGGTCTACCTCTAATTCTACCATTCGATTCTCATGTTTTTATACAGATGTGCTCGTTTTGAGTACTTGGTTGAGGACAAGTCACCCACTTCACTCACTGCATCGAGTACCTGAAATATTCATTTTTTCCTTTGATTTTTCTGGCTTTCTACGCGTTCGCAATTTTCATTGTGATTATATGCATTAGAAAACTGTCGATGTCTACACCACACTTCTCAGAAGATTATAAGTTCAGGTTACAGGGCGATATGCCGTAACGCCCTCGATGTTGGGATGTTGGCGCACAACGTCGCGTGCCATCGAGTTTCCATGTGTATTCGCTCGGAAACATGCGACTGCACTCTGGCGCCAACGTGGGTTACGGTATACCATCCTACTTTCCTGTATGAGATGTTACCCTTTCCATGTCCCTCCCGACTTCCTCAGGTTACTATGTACTAACAGTCAGAGCTGAGAAAGCTTCGCTACACGTACCTCCAGTTTTTTCTATGATCATAGTAGAGCACCCTAGTTTAGCACCTACCAGCGGTGCTCCAATAGGAAAAATATTTTACTCATGTCATCTGCTCACTCAGTGCGAGCTTTAGTAGGAGCGTGTTCCACGAAAATCGTCGCTTGAAGCGATTCAAAAATTCATAGGAGTGTTCTTACCTCGTCGAGCATTTCCTTGGTATGGGCTGCAGATACGCAAAATCGACACCGCGCTTCTGTCATGTCGGTTGCTGGGAATGACACCACGACAATGCCAACTCCACGCGCCAGCATCTCCCTTCCATAAAATCTGGAAAATATTCACCATTTTATTTTGTCTTGGTCAGCATTTTTCCTTTTATGTGTTACCCCATCACATGTGCTTCTGTAGGGCGGAAGTGGTGTAGTGGCAAGTGGCACGCTTACCACGCGAGCGGTCCGGGGATCAAATCCTGGGTCGTGAGTCGCCCGGGCCAACCAAGCCTTCCATCCCTCCGGGGTCGGTTAATTGGTACCAGACTTGTCTGGGAGGATAAAAACACTGACTTGTACATCGGCTGGCCCCCGCAAGTCATTGTATAGGCCACATCGCATTCAAACGCCACTACGAATGTACAAATGGAAGTAGAATGCGTGCCGCATCCCAAAAAGGGATTGATCAACGGCAAATGCTTTATCCTTTTTATCTACAGTGTATGCTGACTTCACCTTATAATCAATTCACTGTTCCTTCCCTCTCACTTCTCTTTTCACTCTGCAAACTTAAAAAAATTGGTGATTCATGAGAATGTGAAAGAAAAAACGTATTCTTAAAAACTGCTTCACGGAACATGAAATTTGAATCATTGAATTTGAGCAATGTTTGTTTTGATAGGTACATTTTTCGTATTTTGTTAGTAAAAATACGTAGATTTCTCATTAGATTTCTCCTTGTCACCTCAAAAGCCTTATTGAGCTCGCATGAGTACTTGCGCAGTAACGTTTCTCGAGAGAAAGGGGAAAAGTAAGCAAACAATAGACAAGTCAAATTAGCCGGATCGTGTTTCTTTTTCAGCTACTTGCGCGCAGATCACAAAGTACCAGCACCGACTCGGCCTCGTGATGCTGACCCTGTTCATTTTGTAGAATAGTATCATGTTCTACTTTTTCAAAGCAAGTTCGAGTTTCTTGCACTAAAACCGAAGTTTACGATGAGAGGGCAGCTTATTATTAATGAAGGTAGAGGTGCAGGGAGGGAGAAAAAAGCCTGAAAATCTGCCCACAATCCTAGATTTGGGTTCCCGTTGACTTCCGCGTTGATGCGGCTCTCATAAGTGTTGCCCTCTTCAACGCTGGTGCTCCTTCTACCAAACGGCTAGAGTCAGCGAATGAGTGGGTGGGCAGCAGCGCTAGCGCTGCGAATGGCCCTATTCGCCCGCTGGTGTATACCCTTCGCTGCAAACCGAGCACCATCTTGCACCCATGAAGGGAGGAAGCGGGGGTCCGCTTGCCTTTCGACTCCAGGTATATCCCTTCTTCTTCCACCTACGATGGTGGGACCCCTCCTAAGCGGGCGAGCCGCTAGTTTCACAGATCACCCACCTCGAATATATTGGTCTGGGTAGAAATTCAGTTTGTGACGTCAAAAGAAGGTGGGTATGAACAGTCATTTGGAACTAACCCGCACTTGGCAGGATAGTAGAGCAGTACTGGCACAACAGGGCTGTCGTCGCTGCCGTAGACAATAAAACCCAGCTGTTTCAGTCTCAGTCGGAAGTATCGTGCGTTTCTCGCCAATTGCTCGATTCGTCGAGCTCCTAAAATGGAATAATTTCTATTTTAGATAATACGAGTTTGGTTTGCTTGTAAAAGTGGCGTAAGGATAGCAAGGGGTAGTACGACTCCAATGGCTGCCTGCGAAGACAATGGGCGGACTGGTCAGCCCAGCCTTCCGTAATGTACTATACACCGGAGCAGATGTCTCCATTCACTAAACTCACTATGGCTTTCCATGTTTGCTGACGATTCTCCTAAAAGGATTGGAAGGGGGAAAGTGCAGCGATGATGGCCATGGATTACAGACAAGAGAGGTGGGATCAATTCCTTGCAGGACTTTCTCATTTTTCTCCTTTTTAATCTTCTTTCTTTTCTTTTTGTTCTCGCCACCATCCTGGAAGAAAGGGTTTTAAATACTATTTCTTATTGGGACTACTCTATTTCTATAAACAGATGGCGAGCGGTTTCTTAGAAGCTAAGGCCCCATGATGATGCGCCATGAGTTTTTGCGACGGGGCAAGCGCGATGGTACTCGGAGCCGAATGCTTTAGAGAAAACTTTCTAGTTTAATGTGAGTTCCTAGCCTGAGTTCAAAAGGATGGTAGGCATTTTATCGACGCCTCTGAAAGAAATCAGTGCTTTACTGGCGAATGGTCGGAAATGAATGACATGTTTTCAAATCCAACGGCGGTTCGGAACTGGCTTGTTTGTTCTTCCTTTTCCAGGTCGTCTGGAGTTTGTCTTCCAGTACACAGCAGCGTTTGTGTTTTGGTGGTGAAGCAAGCTTCTTTTGCGAGATCAGCCTTCGATGACAGACTCTACTGGGCTTATTTACAGGGGGAACAACACTTAATGACTGTCTCCCTTTTCGAAGTTAGGACAAAATCGACAGATACCAGTCCCTAGGGTTACTTTAGCCCTTGAGCCCCTGAAAACGCATGTCACGAATTGTCGTGTGAACGCCTGGTGACCGCACCTCGGGAGCGAGCTTCTGAGGGACTGCTCCCAAATCCTAGCACAAGCAGCCATATCCTTGTTTGGTGAAGTGTCTAATTTGGAAGTCTTTTGGGTATGTTGTCCATAAAGTAAAACCTCAGCACTGCAAAAACTCGACCCTTCAGTCGTACCCCTAAGATCGTACTATTAGCACTGCGCTACTGCTCCACAACTAGAGACCTCCTCGCTCCCTGGCTGGGGTATTAAACCGCCAGTAGACAGCCGATTGTGAGTATTAGGCGTAGATTACGCTACGACTTTGCCGCCGTCATACCCGCACATCGTTTTGAAAACAATCTATGGCTGCCTACAAACCTGTCGAAATCGGCAAAGTGTGACTGATTGAGGATGTCGCAGCGCATGAAGAAAGAATTAATTTGCTCTGCGATGTGTGTTCTTATTGTCAGAAATTTTTGTGTGGTGAAATAGTATTTAATTGTTCCTCGCATATTGCTCATCCGATTTTCGGAAGGGAGCTCGTAGAAACGATAACGAAACGAAGTTTGTTGCAATAACTACGAACAAATTTTTATAGCCTTGTAAAAGCATCCGCGAGTAGGCCAAATTATTATACCCGCTCCATTGTTGTGTCAGTACGCCTCAGGGTCAACCGTCGCGTTCGCAGTTCCCCAAGAATTTTGTGCGACTCTCTACCACCACAGTCTTTGGAGTTGCCCCAATACGGCGGGAGGGGGAGGGTAAAGGGGTACCACGAAGAGGCACCAAACCAAATCAACCAATTCACAATTCGGAAACATTTCGTCTACCTCACCCTCCGTGAAACTCTCGTCGAACTCTTAAAAAAACCCCACAACTTCTACCAGTAGGACCCTCTTTTCACAAACTCCGCTCACACTTTTTCAGTGGTACTTCCTCGACCCCAAAATGCTGCAAGTATAATCGAGGGAAACGCTGTCAAACACCCGATTTCATAAAACTTACAGTGAAGCAAACACTGTCTGCCTAAGATAATGGCCACGTTAATACAGAAACGCCTTCTTGACATAAACGTTGTCCTTAGAAATCTAAAAGTTGCGCAGAGTCAAACTTTGGGGTGGCCATCATCCGGCGGCCTTGTCATCAATGCGACAAGCTAAAGGAGGTGTTATGTGAGTCGTGGGCACGCCGATAAAACCTCATTAGAAATATAATAACCTTCTATCACTCCTTGATAATTAGTGCTATGGAAAGATTTGAATGGATCCACGAGTAATGTACGGGCGTCGGCACTGTGATACTGCCGACGCCTATTGCTCAGAAGTGTGGGTGATCAAAGGGCTCAACCCCTCGCTGCCCTCAGCAGGGCGTTTCCATGTGACAGCATGCAAGATAGCGCAACGAAAAAAACCCTCGTAAGTCTCTATAAAGACCTTTGAGCAGCTATGGAGAGCAATTTCGAGGCCAGGCATGCACTATCCGCATGGGTGGTCTGGTCTGATGCCTCTCCCTCGAGTTGAACCAAATGGTTAACAAGCATAGGCAAACTGATCAGCCCAGTGCGATCCTAACTGTACCGTCATTGGTGCCATCTTTGCCCATGATGATGCTCATCGAAGTGTAGATCTGCTTGTGCCACAGGGGGAGCCATTGGACACGAGTAATATCCAGGTAGGTGAATTTACCCGAAGATGATCGATTGTTATCTGAAAGATTTTATTTGCCAAGAGAACAATTACGTCATGTGAATCCAAATAAGACTTGAAATTTCGTGAACTGAGGGCACTTGAGTTTGGATGCAGCAGTGGGTGACGAAAAGTGGAAAGAACCTCCTTCAGAAAGCAGTGTTTTGGTGTGCACACTAGGATGGGTCGCTGCTCACGATGGGAGTCGTTCAAGACCTGAAGCGCCTCTTCGATACAGTAATGGTACATGCATCGAATACAGAAATACGGCTCATTTTCGTATGAGAAACAAAACTAAAGCGTCCGTGTGCGTAAGAAAAACAAATGCTCCAAAAAGTGACAATCATCTTTCGGTTA